GGGAACCGTTTGATATGAATACTTGTCACCTTTAAAAACTGCTCTGATGAGGTTCAGTAGATTAAAGCATCTTTGCTGGCAGCAGCCTGGGCAGTTTTTCACAGCATCATAAATCACTGATGTAAAGAAACAAAACTAAAATGCAGTTCCTTCCTTTACAGGTGACATGAACCTTGAAGAGTATTTTGCGAGAACTGGCTATAAAGGTTCCCTTGAAAAACAAGACTTGGAAACCTTAACTGATATATTCCAGCATCACATCCGTGCTGTTCCCTTCGAAAACCTCAGCATCCACTGCGGGGAGAAAGTTACTTTGGAGTTGGAGCACGTTTATAACAAAATCGTGCGGAGGAAGCGGGGTGGCTGGTGCATGGAAAACAACCAGCTGTTGGGCTGGGTCCTGAAATGCCTCGGGTACGACGCCAGCTTTCTGGGAGCGTATGTATTCAATCCACATCAAAACGCATATGCCAGCATCATGACCCATCTCCTTGTAAAGGTCGTTATCGATGGCAAAGCCTATATTGTTGACGGAGGCTTTGGTGTATCCTATCAGATGTGGCAACCGATGGAGCTTATGTCGGGGAAAGACCAGCCCCAGGCTCCTGGTGTCTTTCGCTTCACGGAAAAAAACGCCATCTGGTATCTTGAGAAAATGAGACGGAAACAATACATCCCCAATCAAAATTTCTCTAATTCTGATCTTCTGGAGAAAAAAGAGTGTCGGAAAGTTTATATGTTCAGCCTTGAGCCACGGACAGTGGAAGACTTCCGTTTCCAGTGCACGTACCTTCAGACGTCTCCAGATTCCCTCTTTACAAAGAAGTCCATCTGCACCCTCCAGACCACCGATGGCTTTCGAGCACTAATTGGGTGGACACTCACTGAGACCACATACAACTACAAGGAAAATATGGATCTGGTGGAATTTGTAACTCTTGAAGATGAAGAGGTGGAAAAAACACTCAAAGAAAAATTCAACATAACCCTAGATAAAAAACTTGTCCCAATTAATGTCAAAGGAGTTTACACAATCTAGATGACCAGAAAAATTGACAATAATGCTATGTATGTACAGTACCTTCCACTGTCTGTGCAATCACTACTGTAAGATTATGGGATTCTTTTGCAGGTGATTGAAGGAAAAATACATTAATACCAGATTAAAGTGAATTTCACTCTGGGGAAAAATCAGGAATTTAAGACTCTTCTGTCAGGTAGATAGAATTATTTGCTGTGAGATGACTGCAGTTCGATTTTTGGCACAAACGTAGGATCTGATTTGAATCTGGTTATAAACTTGGGTAATAAATATGTCTGGAGAATTTTGGAGTGCCTATAGCACATAAACAGGAGTATGGATTATTAATTGTGATATGCTGCCAACACATTTTCTATGGTTATTATAGGGAGAAAAGTAATCTGTGAGCCTTTAGACAATGAAGTACACATTTAAAACTTAATTTTACACAAGAGCTAACCACTGGCAGCTCATCTCATTTCTCTACCTTTAATATAAGTAAAACAATGTCATCTTTGAAAGGAGCATTAGGAGACATAATTCTTTCACCGTCATCCTTAGACAAAACATAGTACAAACTGAAAACAGTCATCATGTGCATCCCTTTTTCCATTGCTGCACTAAACTGCCCAAAGTAATTTTTGGTATGCACATACTTGCTGGCGATGCAAATTGAATATATTGCAGCACTACTGTGGCTGATGGGCTCTAAGGAGATACCTACAAGCTTTGCTTCTGGTAAGTAATCAGCCTATAAAGGGCAAATGGTGTTTAAACATCACAACTGGCTTAGATTTACTTCTATCCCAAAAGGGGTGGAAATTTTGTATTTTTAGCATTGTATCAAAGTGAAAAAAAAATCAAAGAGAAAACCAAATCTAAAGGAATCTCTTTCTTTAGAGTTATTTCACAATCGCATTTCCCCATTTTTATAAAAAACCCAAACAAGGAAACCACTGAGAAAAAGGGAAACATTCGCAAATGCATCAAAAAAATAGCAGTAACACTGAAACCCACCCATTCTCCCCTATCTATGATAATCCTGACTATTGGACAAATGTTGATTCCTCTCACGTCTGATGATAAATCTCACAAATGATCTAACTGTATAACTGAAAATAAATAAAGGAAAATAAAACCATAAACAGTTGCTATAAATACAGCCTCCTCCCCAACTGCATGACTCCTGCACACACCATTTGCGAAGTAAATGCGGTCTGTTCACTGGTGCTATCGATCTGCTGGCCAACCCAACCCACCACAAACTTCTTGAACCAAACAGGACAATATTGAATAAAATCTACAGCAGCGTTGAAGATGGAAGTTCCTATAGGTTCCTGGAAAAAGAACTTGTAGGCTGAGGAAGAAGATCATCACTGAAGAGGAGGCCCATAGTCACCTCCTCTGCTGGGCTCAGCCTGCTGACCGGCCACGGTGGCAGCTGATGGCCTGGGTGCACACATACCTACACAGGGATGAGGAACCAAGGGCCAAGCAGGAGGCGATAGGGGACACTGAAAGATCTTACTGAGGTGGGAACACAGTTTTTCTATAAATAATGGAACAAAGGACTTTGTTCTCTAATTTGTGTTCATATTATTCTCTTGTACTAAAGTCCCATTAAGGGTTTTTACCCCTTTCTAAATGATTGATCAAACTGAGGAGTTCCCCAAGACCCCAAGGAACATAACGAGCTTCAACACACTCACCACCTCCATTCTAGCTGACAGAAATTCCCATCTGCGTTCACCCAGATCACCAAACCATATTTCTATATGCCATGAACTACAGTTGTCTTCTGGTGCTGCTGCCTCTTGTCTTGAGGACAGTGATTAACAGATGGTTATCTTGCCGCCACACTTCTCTAGAGATTTTCCTGCTGTTGCTCCCAGGTAATTGCTCAGGTTATGGTGTGCAAGGCTTTCTGGGGCACAAGTTTACAGACTCATTCTGGCATTTTTAACTCTGCCTGCAATGATGGGACTCAACACGGATACCCCCTTCTACTACTCAGTTCTTCCTAAAGATCTACGGGGCTGCCAATGACTGAAGCTTCAACCCTCTCTCTGACTCAATCTGCTGATAACCACTCTGAGTGGGATTTTTCCTCTCAACGTGACAATTATAACTAGGTCCTCACTGTGCAACATCAGATCACACGAAGAAACGGCAACACGTCCAGCTGAGGAACAGTTTCACAGTTTAGCTAAACCTCCCCAAAAGCTGATGAAAGCAGGTTACTGAGGTGTGAATGCCAGACCCCAAATGTCTCAAAGGTTTGAGATGAGAATGGTGTAAAACCAAAGCAACCCAGAGGCCTCATGCTGGGCTTCCATTAGCAAAGCATTATTGTAGAAGGCAGATGCTCTCCCAGACCAAAAAGAAAACAAATAATCAAGTCCTTAAAGCATCAGCTCTCAGAAAAACTTGCATTCACATGCAGAAGGGAAACATGGGATGCTGACATCCTTCACCACCACTATGCTTTATTAACACTCTATGAGAAAGGTTTAACGAGAGCCTAAGCTGTTATCCAGTTTTAGTTGTTGACTGTTGTTAAAATGAAGTAGAACAAATGCTTCAAACCACCCCCACTCAGAACTTGTCTAATTCCAAATACAATTTAAAGTGTGGTATTCCAATTAACACAAAGACAAGACACTTTCTTTTAAAGTCTGAAAGCTGGATTAAGTCCCAGAATCCCAGCCCAGCTGCCCATTACACACACACGCAATGCCCAATGGCAACGACAGCCATCCGTGATTGTAGAACTGTATAATGGAGTGTCTTATTAGAAAACAAGAAGCGTAACAGAAGAAACACGGTTCAAACTCCACGGCACCACTCCACATCCTCTCCCCTCCCCAAAGAATCAAAGTTTAATCAGCTCATGCATTACTAAAGGGAGGATACAGGATGGCTCACTTCACTTGGACTCTGGTCCTGGACTTTTTAAGATCCAGTACTAAACAGAACAAAAGTAACAAAACAAGAAACATCAGCAAGAACGATGAAGTTGTTCAATACTTCCATGTTTCCAACATCAGCAGTTATTACAAAAATAACACTGTCAGCCTGTCAAAGGGAGGGACAAAACTTCACCTGACAAGAGACTTGCTTAAACTTAACAGCGAGCTGTCAGTGAGCACGAGCTACAACACACACTTTGCTTTGTTTGCTTTAATAGGTACCTTACTGTAACAGGCACAAACACTTCTGGTGCCTGATAACTCTTTATCCATTAAATTTTGCACGTAGCCATTTTCTTTAACAAAAATGCTTACTACCTATCCCAGCTTGCTTTTGTTCTCAAAGAAGAAATGCTTTTCACTTAGGAAACATGACCACGTGGGAAAGTCCTACACCTTAGGAAGTTGCACATGAAAATGGATCTGCACTTGAGACTGTCAGAGCCAAGAAAGCTTGAATTAATGTAGGTTCGCATTATGAATATTTCACCACTATACTTACATCTCTGTCAAGAGTAGCTCAAGCACAGATTTTATATAGCAGAATGTTTCTACCCTGGCTAGGAAACTAGAGTCAGACTTAAAATACATACATATATATATATACACACACACATGTATTTATAAGTTTGGAAATATAGATGGGTATTTCAGATGACCCCATCATAAAATGTCTGCTTGTCCCTTTGGGCACTTAAAAGTACATTTAAAAAGTCATGTAGGGCTGATTTTTAGTTTTGTCTTGCTCATAATAATGCATTATGAATGGTGCTTTTAAAGGTGCATTTTACACACTCCCCATGAGTAAGAGATTGTGCTAAAAATTAGTAGTTGGTCTTACTGTAGCATTTCAACAGCTCACCTAGCCACCAGCTAAACGTGAACAGTAGAGCACCCAGATTTGAAGACAATAATCCAAACCCTATCATTTCTTCATAGTTGGTGTTGGGCACGTTTAGGAAACAGAACCACCACCCTTCCCACCCCCCTGCCAAATTTCAAAATCTTGAATTTTCTAGGAAGCTGTTGAGAGTTCACTCATGCTCTTACCCATGCACCACGTCACTCACATTTCCAGACATCCCTCAGGGAATGACATGACATTAAGGACCAGCGCATGGCAGAGCGCCCTTTAAATGTGCAAAGTTATCCCCGCATCAGACTGAACAGAACTCTGCAATGCAAGCAAGCTCTCTGCACAGAGCCTTGACAAAGACAGACTTCCATGGAGTTCATCTGAGCCACTAATTGTTATCAAAATTACCCAAAAGCTCCGTTACGTGACACCACTGGAGCCTTCTCCAATCCACTGTCTCTCAATGCATGCAACTGCAGTGACATCTCCTGGTTGCTGGTGGTCCACTAGAGCACGCTTTCCCCCGCAACTATCCAGGAGAGCTTGAGCTATGCAGAAATTCTCTCTCTGTTGAAGAAATGCGTTCAGACAGAGGGGAATCATTTTCCTACTAATAAGCAAGAAAGAATAATGGGATATATTCTGAGTTTTTCCTGTGATGACCAACAATAAATCATTTCTTAGCTCAGGTCACATCTTCCATGGGAAGAAAAATGTCTCGCCATCATTAACTTTTCAGCTAGCAATAATATATGATCAGATTTTAAGTAATTGAACCAGTAGCATTTAATTAGCTCTGAAAAACTCTCTCAGATCATGAATCACAGACTTTCCACCTGTATGAGGTCCTCTTACTAGGTTAAAAGTATATTTCTCTCTCCATGTGTGATCCATCTTGAATATCTAATGAGGCACTCTTGATATACAGATTGCAGTTCATATATCACACACAAGATACACCAGACACACAATCTCTGTCTTTATATAATTGAGTTTCATGCCTTGTTTCACTGAGTTGTTAAAAAAAGAAAAAAACCCCACAAACCCTCTTGTGTCCATGACAGAATGGCCACTACTTGCTTCAATTTAACAAAATCCTCTTTCTCCAGCGAGTCAGCGTTAAGGATGAGTAACTTAAACATCTAGCTGGGGAAATGAAGTAATAGAAATATTTCTTGTTGAAAGGCAGGATACAGAGAACTGCTATGACTTTAGACAAGACCGCATTGACATTTTTCAATTGGCCCGGAGCACTGCCTGACCAAAGAGCATGATGTTTCTGTCCTAACATTGTTTCAGACAGCTTCATTGCATGCTAAACAGAAAAAGTCAGTACAGTCAACTAATATTTGGGGACATCTGTGGCCAGCACAAGCCAGGATCACTTCTTATATCAGATTGTATTAAGCATTGTTTTTTTACATTGAATTAGCTAAACCACAATCATTAACCACAAATAAAATCAGTTTTTATTCAGCTTTCAAATATGCTTCTGAAGCCGTTTTTATGCTTTTATGAAGAGATCTAGATAATTATAAGATTGGATTTTTTTTTTCCTGAAAAAGAGACAAGATTAGCAAACTTCTTTTGGAAGACAAGAATTAAGGCTCACAATCTGGTCAAGTGTCAAACTGTAAATGTCACCCAATATTTGGCTTGCTCAATAAAAAACCAAACGTTTTACTATAAACCCCTCTATTTTTAAATAAGCTTTATAAAAAATAAAATTCAACAAAATGAATTTTATCTCTCTGTTCTTTTCCCATCTTATTTCAGCACAGTAAAAAAAAAATAAAATACATGTTTCTGCTGACTTTTTTCAATTTGAAGATAGCAAAGGTTTACATTTTCATAACAAAAAATGCAGTGAAAGCTGAACTGCCTTACTGGATTCGACAAAGCTTGTCTTTACTCCACATACTTCTTTCAGATATTATCATAAATTGTAAATAATGTTGCTCTCAATTGCCTGTGACACTTGATCTAGTTATGCACAACATTTAAAAAGGCTGATGGGATTAGTGTCCCGCATATTAAAAGCTGCTGAGAGAGGAAAGGATGTATGACATCCATTATATACACATCCACTTTGAAAAATGTTTGTCATGTGGATGGTAGAAATTTCAATGATAACAGACTCAGATTTACAAATCTATCCTTTACATTAAATAGCAAAAACTCCAAACAATCTCCAGTTCATGGTACTATATTTGGTAGACAACGTTTCTATTAGCTCCAGTTGTGCAGTTGACATTAATCCTGAGGTTTTAAGAACTTTTTCTTAGCTTTTTTGCTAGGTCTTGTGTTATTATTTCCATCTTCATCTTCATCTTCATCCTGGAGTACACGCTGGTCTCTTTTTCTCAAAAATTTCTTCCCTATTGTTCCCACTAATGTTTCGTATCTGTAAAGATAATAAAAAATTTACAGCTTTTACTAAAACCCGAGAAAACTTAAATGGAGCAAATCATAAATCTAATCAACAATTTAAGTGGTGTAAAAAGCCTGACATGAGAAACTTCAGAAGCACAAGTACTACATTATATAATTCATACTGACAGTTTGGGTTTGTTAGCAATCTGGAACAAGGAGGGAATTAGCCTAGAATACCTGGATATCAAAGGGCAGAAAACCCCTACAAGACATTTTACCCCCAAAAGTGAGGGAGATTCCACTGAATACACACCAGAATTCCTGGAAAATTGGTTCTGTAAAGTACCAAATTCTGTTGTTTTTTTAATTTTGTTTGTTTGCTTTTTGGGTTTATTTTCCCACAGATAATGCAGTAACATATCCTATTCCTAGCTAATATTGATTATGTCATAAAATATAACTTACCTTCTGGCCATTTCTTCATCTGACACATCAGCTTCCATTTTATCATCCACTTCAATTTCTTCTTCCTTGCACCTAGAGTTCATTTGGATCATTAACTTCTGAAAATGAAGCAAGAAATAGCTTAAACATGTAACCCTGACACAATAGCAACTACGCTGAAATTCACTGGTAGGAGAAATGCATAAAAGGTAAGAATCGAATTTAATAATTAGTTGCTGTTCCCTGGTCAGGCTAGAGCATCTCTTACGAAAACTCATGAAGAAAAGGCAACATGCCTGCCTGCTGCTAAGCTGAGCTCAGAGTTTGCCTTTGGGAAAACAGGCAACACAGAGACAGGATTTTCAATGAATTGCACTATTCAAATATCCTCAAGGGCATGCCAGACATCTTCAGGAGACCAGAGAATTAGATCATAAATAGTTTTTCATTGTGATGTTAGCACATAGTCCTTGAAATGGTTTTGTTAAGAAGGAAAAGTATCTGCAAGGATTTACGATAAACTACTAGTACAAACAATGAAGCAATAATATGCTAAGTCACAGTGAGAGCAGGTTCAAAATAACTAAAAGAATCCCCTAGTAAATCACCTTGCATAGCCTTTTGCATACCTCTTAGTCTTTACACCTTCATCCTCTTGCTTCAGTTCAGTGGTAACATTTTTATTACTATCTCAGTGTAGTTCTACCAGCATGAATCATGCCAGAAAGAAATTAAAGACTCTCTTGCCCAGAATTTTTACTTTGGAGATTTAAGCCTTTACTTACATGAGTAAGTGGTGAATAAATAGGGTTCGATGTTTGTAGGATTGGACTCTAAATGGCAGGAGGAAAAGTGAGCTATTGCTTAGTGAGCACCATGTGGGACAGTTTCCTCACTTCAGGGAGGGAAAATCTGCATGAGTCATGCAATTACTGACCATCAAGGAGATAAAAAGCTTCTATTTACCAGATGCTGCATTGATCAACATTTTGGTTTGAATCATGGATTTCCTGTACATGGGAGGATTTATGGAAGGTGCTGCAAAGGCCAAACAGCATGTGGCGTGAACACTCAAATCTCCGTGCCCAAGGGCTTCAATCCTAATCCAAGACCACCTCAAAACAGAACATTTAAATGGTACCTCAATTTCTGGATTGAATCCTTTGAAGGACATTCTGCCATAAAGTAGATCCTCGCATGGCATAAAGCTCCTCTCTTCTATTATAAAGCTCCTGCATGAAACCCCAAACCCAACATTTGTCAAACGGTGTGCTTTAAAATAATCAAATTAAACAAATGCAAAAAGCATTTGCTGTCTTCCCCCCGCACAAATAAACAAAACCACAGTGTATTTTGAACCATCAACTACTTTCTGAAGCTTAATTGCCCTGATAAATCTTTCAATAGAAGGAGCCTGGAGTGCAAAGGAATACCTTTTGCCAGTAAAGCTGTGCCAGTTCCACAAGCAAAATTAACTCTCTTGACAAAAAGCACTCTTTGCTGGTATGATTCCACCTACATTAATGCTTTTGCCTGAATAAAAATACCACATAAATATCACTCTCCAGGTGGCATTACTATACCAGCAAAAGCTTCTAATTAATTTTTCATTGTGATGTTAGACATGGCATTAGTTGAGTCTGTCAGGATATAAAACACTGAATCTGTATGTTCAGCAGAGAAAGATTTCCCCTTTCTCCCTCAATTTTTCCTCTTTTAACGAGCATGGAGCGAGAAAAGAAACATGACCCTCAGGCGTTCATAATACAGGCGTTAGATAAAAGTACTTCCATGAATTGTTCCATCCTTCTTTTCCTCGCACACATATGCGCCTCTTCCCTCATCCTCTTCATCTCCCATGTAAAGCAAACTCTTACGATCACAGGAAGCTAGGCTGAAGAGATCAAGCTCATTCTCCTACCTCTGGGTAGGATCAGTTAAACGTGTACTATGAACAGCAGAGGTCCATCTAACCTGTCCTCAAAAAGACTTCCCATGATGAAGAATCCTGTGTCTCCTTAGGCAATCTATTCCACTGCTTCAATAGACTCATTGTTAGAAAAATTCTCCCAATGTCCAGCTTGAACTTTCCTTGCTGCAACTGAAGCTCAAATACCTTTTTGTCATATCCACCAACAGTCATGGAAAATAGTTTATCAATGACCTTATTCAACTGCAGTTAATTCCCTGGATCCCAGCATTTAAAAAATCATGTATGTTCTCCCTCAATGGAATTTTTGTCCTCTTTTGAAAGGATGAAAATCAAGCAATTTTAAAAGTCGTTCTCTTGCTATTTAAAGCACCTTGCTAAGTAGCAGGAAT